TGGTCATAAGCCCCAGCTGGGGCTCGACACCAAGACCGACAGACTGACTGACCGTCAGTTGTAACATGACCTGACCTGACCTGACCTGAAATGCGTGATAATGTGGGATGTTCCCACAGTTGCATAGCAATGGCCCTGCATGCTATACCATGTAAGAAATTAATAAAATATAGAATGTATTGCCTCACTTAATGCCAGAATGGAAATAGATGCTGTTACATCATCTTTGAATTATACTCATTTGCTGATTTGCTGTACAGTAATCCAGTCATGCCATCTATCAGCTGCTTTATGCAGCAAAGAACTCTTGAGTTTGTAATTCGTCAGTACTTTGTTTTTTTTTATGTTATGCTTGCAAACCTTGTACATATTATATGTTGGCATATATTTATGTCTTTCTTCTTGTATTAAAATGCAACCTTGTAAACCCATCTGCTGCCTTTGGTTTTGTGTTATCCTCAGTCACAACTGCAGTCCACAACAGACACTGTCTTGACTATCTGCAAGATATTAATGTAAAGGGAAACAGTTACAGACACATGTATAACAGATCTGAGGTCTGAATGTGTCCCAGAAATAGGTATGGAAAATTGTGGGAATGAGTGCTTCGACCGAGACCAATGAAAATACTTTATATATGCATGGTTCCGGAAATGCTTTGGTAAATGCTTTGGTAATGGACTAGAGCCATTCATTGGTGTTCTGGCAGCAGTGGGATTAGAACTGTTGTTATGAAAGTAACATGCCAGGGGCATGTGAAGGAAATTGGGAGTTTTAAGTTGACAGTGTGAAATTCAGAGTTAATATTTGATCATTCAGAATGGAATAAAACAGAGCAGTTGTTCTTCATGTTTGGTGTTGGTATCTTCCTCTTTTCTGCACTTACAGATAATCTTACACAATTTCAGAGTTTTTGACAAGTGGAAAAGGTCAGTCTTTCTAACAGTAGCCCTCAGTGTTGTAACTTAGAGCTAATTTTGTTTAATACTTTCAGCAAAACCACAACCAACTCGTCCACCCACAGCCTGCAGACTGCATGAAGCAACATGCTCAAATGGGGAGTGTATCAGCAAACAGGCAGTGTGTGATGGGAAATTTGATTGTTCTGATGGTTCTGATGAATTGAGATGCAGTAAGTAGCAGTTTTCAGGAAAATCAAAACTTATATCAGATGGAAAGATTTTGAATCAAATTCTTGAAGTGATAAGTACAGACTTCTTATATTCATTCATTCTTTGTTTGTGCATCTTTAGAAGGAAGGTGGTGCCTGAACAAATAAGTGAAGTGTAAAATAGAGAATGTTACATGAGTAACATGAGTTTTCCTACTGTTGCTAGCGTATATAATTCAAAGAGACTGTATTGGTCTGATTATCTATCTTGGTAGAAGAGGAATCTGGTGGAAACTTGGGGATACTGGCCAGCTAGAACATTAGAAAGGGAATGACAGGATACTGTTGTGGATACCATGAAAATAAGTGTCAGGATGTGAACTAGGTTCAACTCACTTAGCGTAGATTTCAGTATAAAATTGGCCACATTGAATCTTCACATTCTATTTTAAATGATGTGCAGTTGACCCCCCAATTTATTGTTCTTTGATTTAAGGTTTCCCCTAATTTCATGCTCAGTTTCCAGATCTAGAAAGATGAATGGTCTAGAAGTAAACACAGAGAAAAATAAGTATATGTTGCTGTCTAATCACCAAAATGCATGGCAATATCAGTACATAAAGAAGGGTAACAGAGGTTTTGAAATGTGAAGCGGTTCAGATGTTTGGAAATGACTATATAAAAAAAAATTGATTCAGGTGGAAATTAAGAGGAGGTTGAACTCGGATAATGCTTGCTACCATTCAATCCAGAGCCTTTTGTCTTCTTGTCTGCTGTCTAAAAACATAAAAATTATAATATACAAAACTATAATTTTGCCTGTGGTTCTGTATGGATTTGAAACTTTGTCTCTGACATTAAGGGAGGAACATAAATTGAAGGTGTTCGAGAATGGGGTGTTGAGAATATTTAGACTGAAGCGAGATGAAGTGACAGGAGGTTGGAGAAAACTGCATAATGAGGAGCTTCATAACTTATATGTTTCTGCAAGTATAATTAAAATGATCAAATCAAGGAGGATGAGATGCGCAAAGCATGTAACATGAAAGGGGGAGAGGAGAAATGCATATAGGATATTGGTGGGAAAGCTGGAAGGAAGGAGACCATTGGGAAGACCAAGGTGTAGGTGGGTGGACAATATTAAAATGGGTTTCAGAGAGATAGAATGGGATGGTATGGATTTTTTTTAATGCTAGTGGGGTGGGACTAAGTCCCTTGTACTGTGGCCACTTCTGGCCTATTGTACCAGCCCCAGATGATAAGTGAGGGTGATTGTGGAGCAATTGGTGGAATGATAATTGGCAGGGGAAACTGAAGTACTCAGAGAAAACCTGCCCCAGCGCCAGTTTGTACACCACAAATCCCACTTGACCAGACCAGGGATCGAACCTGGGCTGCTGCGGTGGGATGCCAGCAACTAACCACTTGAGCTATGGCACGGTCCATGGTAGTATGGATTGGATTGATCTGGCTCAGGATAGGGACCTCTGGATGGCTTTTGTGAATGCGGTAATGAACCTTTGGGTTCCATAAAACGCTGGGAAGTTCTTGAGTAGCTGCACAACTGGCAGCATCTGAAGAAGGGTTCAGCTCCATGAGTGAGTGAGTTAGTGTGCAGATCCACTGGTCCCCAAAGAAACCTTCAGTGCTGGTTTTGCTGTAGTTATCTTCATTGGTTGCACCCTGTTGTGTGATCCAGATATATATAGGAATTATGTTGACTGTCAACAAAACAAATATACTCAGTTTTAATGTTTTAAAATTTGATCTTTATTCCTGCTACAAGGTTTGGTCATATAAGACCATCATCAGTACACATAGGAATACATATAGTCATTGTACTACCGATATGAATCCATATCAGTGCAACATGTCATATTATATACTGACATAAAATTTTGTCTCAAGTTGGTGTTTACAGTTTAGTAGAAGATACAAAATAAGATGAAAGATGAAATATAAAACGTATACCAAATGTCAAAATTTCTAATGTGTTGAATAAATTATGGAATATTAAAAATATTAAAAGTATTTTACAAAAATGTTCAAAAAATATATTAAAAAAAAATTAGTATGGTAGGTTAAGGAATATGTATGCCAACTTAAATGCTAAGGTTCCAGTGCTATAGTGTAGAAATTGGGTATGTATGTTGTTTGTTGGTCTTTGTTGTAGAAGCTTTCTATGTAGTAAGCCCGGTCGTGGAGCCCAGAGACAAGTTTGTAGCTGAAAGAAATGAGTATCTGTAGGTTAATGTTTTTGTATGTGCTATATTAAAATGATTATATTGTGACGTGTTGCGCTATGCAGGACACCCCTCCCCCTGCCAGCGGTGATGTAACACCATCAGAGCGCTGTCGTTACTAGGGTAACAGGCAAGTCAACATTCCTTCCCCTACCCTGTCAGTGGTAACGTGACCAAGGGATGCCTCGGTTGCTATGCAGCCGTAAACAATTCCCGACAGCGTTGCTAGGCTGTCAGCAAACACGGTGTCAGACAACAGTGGTGCCTGTTACATAACTGTTTTCTGTGTTGTCCGTAACAGGGCTAAATAAAGGAGCAGCGAAGACTATTCAAGTTAGTTATGAGTTAGCCAGGGAGTCAGTCAACCAGTCAGTTGTAGTCTAGCATCCGCAGGCCAAGTAATTGTAATGCTGCAGATGGCAGTAGTTGTGAAATTGTGAATTGTGTGATTGTACAAGCAAGTGTGAAATAAAATTTGCTATATCCAATGAGGCCTGAAGTTACTTGTCGCGTGACCTACCCAACACGTCACAATATTAATAACATGTATCAATGACATATTTAATACTTTTTTTTTAATTGGTAGTGGGGTGGGACTAAGTCCCTTGTACTGCGGCCACTTCTGGCCTATTGTACCAGCCCCAGATGATAGGTGAGTGTGATTGTGGAGCAATTGGTGGAATGAAGATCTGCGAGGGAAACCGAAGTACTCAGAGAAAACCTGCCCCAGCGCCACTTTGCCCACCACAAATTCCACTTGACCAGACCCGGGATCGAACCTGGGCCACCACGGTGGGAAGCCAGTGACTAACTGCTTGATCTATGGCGTGGCCTGTTTAATACTTACTACTTAAACATGTCATTAATACATGATATTAATATAGTCACATAATATAGAACATCCAGAAACATTAAAATACAGATACTCATTTCTTGCAGAGCCCTTTTGTAGCAACAGCTGCCTCAGCTTGTTTCACAGTTCTGGCTTTCAGCAGACATGCTACATTATTTATGAGAATTGAAGTTGGAGCTTTCACCGTTAATGAAGAAAAAATCATCAGTCATCAGTGTGGTAACTAGTATTCATGAGATTGTTAAAGTTGAAATCAAAGCAAAGGCCCGTGAATGAGCGATTGTTTAAACTTTGAAAATACTTTTTCGTCATGATGCTGGGAAGTCTCTGTGTTCCATTCTAGATCCCCATGGTTGTGAACCAAATGAGTTCCGATGTGACAATAAGAAGTGCGTCCTCAAGACTTGGCGCTGCGACTCAGAGGATGATTGTGGTGATGGGTCTGATGAAAGTAGCTGTGCCACGAATCCACCAGGTATGCTTGCATGCAGAACTTGGAAGGGGGGTGGGGGAGGTGGGGTGGATACTGTCATATTTTCCAAATGTATTCGCTGTTTTGCATGCCCCCTGATACAGATATTCATTTATTGCAGATATAAACTCATTGTTACAGATTTGGTCATGTTACTTGTATGACGCTGCGCAGTCGGAAATTATTTTCACTTTTAGTTTTTGTATGAACTGCCCAATTGCTTGTTCACTAAGTTTTTTTTTTTTTTTTTTGAGGATGTTAATGATAATATGCTTGGATGTAATGCCATGCAGTCTAGTGGAAGTTCACACTGAATTTTATGAAACAGTGTGTAGTGTGGTAGAAGTTCACCTTGCATCCCAAGAGATGGTAAATTTCTTGATAACTGCTGTGAGGACTTCAAATCCAACATATTAAATCAAATTGGATTTCAGCTTCATGTGATTTAAGGGAAATGCCATGTTTGATTGATTTTACTTGAGGAATTTTATTTCATAAGTAACTTTTTAAAGTAATGTCTGGCATTCTTCGTTTTTTGTTCCACTATATACTAAAATTAAATTCTCCTAGCCTGTAAGTATTGTAAACTCCAAAACCAAATTTAATATAAATCCATTCAGTAGTTTCAAATATGAAACATGCAAACACTTCTCCTTGTATGTGTTTCCTGCAATATATGCTAAATTAATTTTGCCTTACTCTTAGCCATTTTGTTTATGTGAGTAGAAATTATATTTTAACTCACATAAATGCAGAAATTTAATAAAGGAAGCTATATTCTCTTGTTTTCTGTATATCACAGGTTCTCCATGCCGTTATCATGAGTTCCAGTGTAGGTCAGGAAGGCAGTGTATTCCACGATCATTCCACTGTGACTTGGGTGTTGACTGCTTAGATGGCTCAGATGAAGTTGGCTGCTGTAAGTAGAGCTGTGTGCATTGCTTTGCCATAAATTTTAATTTTAAAACTGTGCAGAATTTTACATTTGTCTTTGTAGTGTGATTTCTTCAAGGGTGCAAAGCTGTTGATATGTTGCACATAATTACTACAGCCAATGTTGCAGTGGATGTCTGCATATTCACATTCTTTGTTTACTTTTCACTTTAGTTCATTTCTGCTTTTTGCTCATGCATAAAAATACGCCCACTTTTGTATAAAGTACTTCAATTATTCTTGGTGAAATTGGTCCTTGTGTTACTTATCAACACATTTTCAACTGCTTAAGTTAGGTGGTATTGGGTGATATGTTCGTTGCATAAATGATGAAATGGGAAGGCTATTGAAGAAGGCCAGCAGGGTGTTTTCAAGATACCATCCAGGAGAGGGTGAGGAAAATAATTAAACAATCTCTTGTTAGTATGACTAGTCTCAGCTGCAGTGCAAATGAAATACACATAGAGTAGAAGTTAGGATTGTTAACACTGTCGTCATCATCGTTGTTGTTGTTTTTGTTTTTTTGTGTAGTGTATTATGCTTCTTACTTCAAGCTTTATTATCCATATTGCATTCTTGTTGCATCTGTTGGTCTCTAAAGGAATCTCCTTGCTAATTCTGTTTGTCTTTTGTGTGATTTTAGGTTTTCATGGCAGTGACTATGAACATGCTGTCTTGTTGGGTGTGACACTATGTAGTCTGCTAAGCCTCTCTGGCCTGTCACAGGCATAATTTCCTAACTTTTATAACCACAGTCCTTCCCCAAACACTTGAATGGTACACTTTACCTATGCCTGTGAGGTACTGTGTTTGTGTGTATATGAATTATTTTACAGCTCCTGTATATATCCAGACACCACCACCACCCATGGTGATGGCGAACATTGGTGATGTACTGACCATCAAGTGTACAGCAATTGGTGTTCCAATTCCAGAAGTTGTTTGGAGGTTGAACTGGGGCCATATACCCAGCAAGTGTTCTGTGACAAGTATAGGGGGAGTTGGTACCTTGACATGTCCCGACATACAGGTGATGAATCTCAGTTGTTCAGTGTTACTAGTATCATTGTACTACAGGTTCTTTAAGCATTTGAACATGAGTCCAAGTTTGAAGACATGTCCCCTTACAGAATCCAATGCTGCCATCACAGAGGCACACCACTGAGCCCCATGCTGAGTCAGTTCCATCCAGTTGCCATCCTCACAGTCTGTTTCTTCAGTTTCCTTATTATCATCATCTTCCCACTTGTTCCCTTCTGATGAAGCTTTCTTCCCAGCATTGTATGTACATATCACATGTGATGTGAGTGTGGAAGCTGAAGAATCTCCACTGTTAGAAGCCGTTACCAGGAAACAGCTGCTGAAGACAGCAGATTAAGAAGGCTTAGCATGTGCTCTAGTGATTTGTAAAGTGTGCAGATCAGCAATGGCACTATAATTAAGTGTATAGTCACAAGTTGTGTGTTAAAGTGGAAAAAAAATCCAATGTCTAATCCAAATGCCATCTATAGTCACTCATACACATGACAATTGGTGTCAGAAATGGTTGGGTTGGAAACTGAATTGGATCTTAGTTATTATACCACCATCCTATAAAGATGGAACACTGCTGGCCAAGATGGATTTTGTCTAAGCAAAAATAGACAGCAACCAAGAAAAAATGAATGCCAGTATAAAGGAAGTGAAAGAAAGAATGATGGCAAGGCTGGAGGCCATGATACAGAACAATCAAGAAAGGAAATGCCAATAATGAGAAGTTTGATGTTCTTCAAAGTTCTCTCATCTCCTGGATGGATATCCACCAAGCGAGACTGGTGTCATTCAAGAAGAAATAATACCCCAGATGGACACCCAACAGGAAAGGTTGGGAGCATGTATGAATGTCTGGTGAAAAGAGATGATGGCCTGCCAAGAATCGATTGAGACCTGTCTAGAGAATAAGGAGCCAACCTCAGTGGAGATAAAAGAGTCCATAGTGGTTCATGAAGAGGGCCCTAAAGAAGAGGCTGTTGTGAAAACTGTCAGAGCACTGAAGGAGACTGGCCTTGCTCCTGTAAACACATAAAATGGGGACTGGCATCTAGCTGTAGGGCGTCACTGAAAGCTGAAGAAATGGACCCAGGGCGATGTTGGGTCCCAGGAGAAGTGGGCTGCCACCAGCAGAGGGATGACTCATCATGCCATTCCTGTACTGTGCGTGGGGGATGGTCATCAGGTGCCAGGCAGGGACACTGGTGTACAAGGAACACTGAAAGGACTAGTGGTTGGGAAGAGATGTCGGCCACATCAGGAATGCAGCAGGGGAATAAGAGGCTGAGACCTAAAGGAGTAGCAGCATCAAGGAAGGAAGAGGACATCTGGCAGGATCTTTAGGAAGGCTGTTGTGTTGGAGATCATGAAGCGAAGAGTCAAGCCTTCAGAATGACTGGACATTGTGGAGGGGTTGGCCCCTCCAAAACGAAAGATGAGACCACTAACTGCTTAAAAGCCATGGATGTAGAAGCAATGACTGGTCTCAGACATTTTGCCTGAATGGAGGAAGATGACAATAAGCCTCGGGCGACTGGCACCTTATGAAGGAATTGCCTGGAATGAGTGACCTTAAAGAGGGTGCAGTGGGAGCAGTAGGAGCAATTGCAGAGTAATCACTATGAGAAATGAGCTACAGAGTCAAAGGTGAGACCAATCCCTTGCATCACAAGCACAGCCCTTGGTGGTACACATGTAGGCCATTCAAAATGAATAGCCTTTAGGAGGGAGCAGTGTAGTGTGTAGATCTGTTGCTAGGTAGTGATCATAAATCAAACAGGTCCCATGGCAACACGTTCACGTGCAACAATAGAGAAACTGTACTTCTTTTGGCTTATTTATGACTTCACCCATCGTCTGGTGTGTAAAAGACACTGGACCAGTGATTGAGACTAGCTCTTTCTAACGGTCCCAACTGAGTAGGTTTATCCTTCCCTATCCACCTGAAGACGTATCCAGTCTCCGAAACGTGGTGGTCTTTTGTCTTTTACATACCAGACAATGGGTGAAGTCCAAAATAAGCCAAAAGAAGTACAGTATACACCATCGTCAGAATCCTTTCAAGTCTATCACAATAGAGAAACTGTTGGAAACGGTGTTTTCTATGTGGTCCATGCTGAGATATTGTAAGGAGAACAGTGGGAGCAAGAGTTTACAGTTGTAAGGGATTCTGTGAAAAGAAGACTTAACTGATGCAGCTGAGAGGCAGTGGGCAATGAAGTGAGAGGGAAAGCTGAAGAATCTTCACCGTTAGCCGTTACCAGGGAATGACTGGAGAAGACGCAGCAGACTGAGAAGGCTTAATGTGTGCTGTAGTGATTTGTAAAGTGTAATGACTGGTGGTGATGCTATATAATTATGTGTAGTCATAAATTGTGTGTTAAAGTGGTCAGTAAATCCAATCTCCAATCCAGACCCCATCTATAGTCATTCATATACATGGCAGTATGTTCAGGTGTCCTTACCTTCTGTTCCCAAACTCTGCTCAGCTCTTCCCTAAGAGAGTGACCAGTTGGTAGGCCCATGAAAGAAGGCACACAGTATTGTAGTTCTATATATTTTGCTGTTCATTAGTTTGCTAGAGACAAGATGGGTCAGTAGAACACACTCTGAATGGAGTTTATAGCTTCTGCAGTTTTTAGATACTCACAGATGTTAGTACAATATGTGTGTTTTGTCTGTTTCTGATATTGATGGATTTCTGAGCTGCTTAAAGATGTTCTGTTGCATAGAGACTATGTCTTAGTAGACAGCTCAAGAACAGAATTTTTTTAAGGTAGTAATGCCAGACATCCAACCTTGAAGTTCCTCTCTCATCTCATACTTGCTTTTAGTGACTTTATCATGTTTAGGCATTTGTTCAGAAAATAAAATGAAAATACCTTATGTTGATGGTACACCCATCTGTCTGTTGCCTCCTTGTGCTTCAGAATACCAAGAAGAATTTGTAGGGAGAGAAGTCGTCAAGTAAATTTCATGTTAGCCATAGTAGTCATCTACTTCCTGTAAGGGCATAAGTATACGTTTTATTCTGTTAAATATATAAGAAGCTTAAAATATTTCGAAATAAAAATTGTGACTCCGCACTTTGTTAAATATTGCTAGGAATCAGACCAAGGAGCCTACAGTTGTGAAGGCATCAACAACAGGGGCTCTGTGATTGCTGTTCCTGACACCATCGTTGTTGTGAAGAGGCAGCCGTCTGTTTGCCGTGCAGGATATTTCAACAGTGAAGCACGGTCTCCTGCTGAGTGTATTTCGTGTTTCTGCTTTGGTGTTACCACAGACTGCAGCAGTGCTGATCTATTTACTTACCAGGTAACTTTTGCAAGCTGAAAATAAGACTGTAGGCAGTCTGCTTATTGCATGAATGTGAGTCAAATGAAAACCTTGAAAGTATTTTCATGTGTATGAGTGACTATAGAGAGGGTTTAGATTAGTAATTGGACTTATTGAGCACTTAACAGATTGTAACTACAATTAACTGTAGCGCTATTGCTAATTCATACACTCTGCGGCTCACCACAGAACGTAACAAGTCTTCTCAGTCTGCTCTGTCTGGTAATAGTTTCCAGTGCTGTAGAATATCTGTGTTCATGGCTTCATGTCCTTGCTGGCTGTCACCTGTCTCACTGCAGCTCCCCAGCTGAATTAACTGCCGAACTCTCAACTTGTCTTGACTCCACTAACTCATCCTGCTTATAACATCTCTGCATGGACTGCACAGAAAACACTGTTCCAATGTAGCTGTGCCTTTGTTGCATGTGCAGCCATCGGCATGGACTGCACAGAAAACACCATTTCTCTGTTGCTGTTTATGGGCCATTATATAGCAGCAGCTGTTGTATAGCTGCAAATTTCTGTCATTGCCTAGCAGCTGCGGTTTCTTAAAATTACATATATGGAAAACTGTAGCATAAAACAGTGAGGTTTTCCCTCACCTTTGTCATAGCGAGTGATTCGGAACTAGGCACCACTATTTTCCTGTAACTTTTTGTGGTTGAAAGTGCATAAGATTCCTGTCAGAGAACCCACTCTGTCCTACCCTTGCCTAGGAGAACGGTTGCATTCCAGAAAATGAAAATAGTCACCACCAAGCTGTGAGCTTGTCCTTGGCTCAGTGAAGGGATCAAAAAGTGGTTTCTGACCTCCAAGCCTGTGAGTTAACTATCAAAGTGCTTGTTGACGATAGCTGTATGCTGTGCGTGTTGCAGGGTTCAGCCCCACTGCTTGATGGAAGCTTATCTCCAAGCTCTAATCATTCAGAAATGTACATCATGTGATGTCATGAACTACTGCTTTAATCCTTTAGCTTCTTCATTGTGTATAGTGGTTAATGAATGTAATTGGGAAGTTTTCTGTGTCTGTGCTTTGTGTTTAAGTTTAGCCTTAATTTTAGCAATGAAACCAAAATCTTTGGCTTGGATACAGTTCTCAAAAATAATGCATTTATGTGAAGTCAGAGGTTTGTCAGAAAGCAAAGTAGGAAGGCAGTATGGATCGACTTTTTTGACAATATTTATGATATTGAAGAGCAAAGAGAACATACAGTTGTCTATTCTATGTGAGGAAAGACTGGTGTTGCAGAAACGAACAAGGAATGCTGAGAATTAAGGTTTGAAATCTGCGCTCTTGGCATGGTTTTGCCAGGAGAAATCAGCTGCTCTACAAGTTGATGGATTCATGATTAAGGCAAGGGCCAACTATTTCATGGCAAAATTAAAAATTGAGCACTTAAAGGTTGGCCTCATTGTTTAAAGTGAGGATAGACATGAGCATGTATAAGGTATCAGGCAGATCAGCTGCAGTGAATCCATAATTTTTCGAAAGATTTGGCCCCAGTCCTAAATAATTTCCTGAAGTGGTACTTGCCTCGGGATATTCATAGTGCAGATGAAATGGCCCTAATAGAACCCTTGCAGTTAAAGATTATCTGTTTGAGGATGGGAAAAGAGGTAAGGAGCAGCTTACTGTGCTACTGTGCTGAAATTTGGATTGTTCTAATGCAGTGAAACCATTGGTTATCAAGAAGTCACAGTGACCTTGCCACCTCAGGGGCAGTAAGATTCTTCCATGTCCATGAAATGGAACAGCAAAACATGGATGAATTTGTCGAGCATGCAAGGGGCTCAGAAGTTAAAGAGTTAATAAAGGGTTTGTGCGCGTGAATTATATATTGTTGAGACTTGCTTGTTGTAAGTGTAGTAGTATGTATGATGTCTGTTTTTGTTATGAATTTTAATATTTTATAATGTAACTGTTTTAATGATACTGCTTGTCAGTGTATGTGGAATGGGAAGGCGCGAATTTGACAGTCGTGACAACTTGAGCTATCCGTGAGAGGCCTTATTATATATTTTATTGGACCAAGGACGAATGATGTGTAGTCATCATGAATTTGTAATATGTAACATGTTTTATATCCAGCCCTACGGGGAGATGATTGGATCCATGAAGTGAAAATAAGTGTAAATGTTTCGGCTGTTATTCAGTGACTGAAGGCTTGCAGTGTGAAAATGGGAACCCACAAGGGAAAGGTAGCTTTATTCAGTGACTAATGCCCAGCATATCATTCAGTGTTGCTCCATAATACTGAATTCATATTCGTACTAACAAACGCTACTAATGCCTGTACAGCCTTTGGACCAGGCGGTGATAAAATCCCCAGAACATAATTTGAGGGTGATGCTCATAAGTGTGATCATAAGCCAAGAGGCAGTGAATAACACCACACTACCAAAATGGAATATGCTGGATGCATTGCGGGTCCTTGTTGGTTGGAGCAATGTCTCACCTCTCAACATTGCTGGCGTTTGCTGGCCTGTTACCATAGCAGTAGCAGCGGCAGTGGCTCTTAGGCTGTTATGTCACCGCGACAGTGGTTGCCTGACACAGCTGTTCTGTTGTTACGTCACCGTGGGGGAGGGGTGATTACTGAGCATTGCATAATGATGGAAGGAGTGGGTGTATGTGATGTCACTCGCGAGAACGCATAGTTCACATGACCCTTACTTCTTGTTGCGCCATCCACATCACACTATGTTACCTGAGTTTGGCTCATTTACCTTCACGTTTACACACGAACAGGGATGTTTTATGTGCATTGAATTACGAGCATAATGTGGGTGGGAGTCGCAGCTGTGTAGCACATGGCAGGTGTTGCATTTGGTCACTATTAGCTCTCAGGTGTGAGTGTGAAGGAGTTATATAAAGTTAAGGATAATCATAACATTGAGAATGGTAAATTATTTTTCACTGTGTTAATATATCTGTAACAATAGTTTTAGAGAGAAGAAATATTTTCTACAACATTTTTTTATACCTTGTTGCCAAATTGTGTTGTACATAATTTGAATTTAATGGAAGATGAATAGCTACGTGTTCCAACAATATTCGGATATTATGAATATCCATTAGAACGTACATTTTTACAAATTTTATAAGTTCTCATAATATCAAGGTTGCACTCTGAATGCATGATTTTCTTTCTCGCAGTTCCAAACCCAGTGTGAGACACAGTTCAGATGTAGCATAGTTACTAGGAAGAAATAGTTAAGTGGGTAAGATTACTAAGCCTTGGTAACTGTGCCAGATCATGAGGTCTGTGGTTCATGTTTCATATTTGGGATGGTGTATATTTTAAAGTATTTGCTGAGTGGAAGTTGTGGTTTATTAAACCACCATATGGAATTGTTAATTTTATTTCTGGTTTGTTCTCAGCTGCCACCCCCATTTGACCAGTACAGACTTGTTGGTGTGAATGTGGATCCCTCTACAGGATCAGTGGAAATTCGTTCAGATCTGCCGTACCGATCTCTGCCAGCTATCCGTCCAATAGAAAGAAATGGATTGCATGTAAGTTACTTGTATCATTAACAAATTCAGTGTGCACAATTTCAGTAATATCCTGTAAATCATCATGAAATGAAGTATAATGAAAGAAGAAATTTGGTTATGGATTTCTGTATTGGAAGCAGTGTCATCATGCCATCTAGCATGTTTATGTTTCCCTGCAAAGTAACGTTCATTGTTCCTTCATAGGAAGTGCTTAAATTTGCATACAAAGATATTCAGGATTGTTTAGTGGCTGTTCCCATGCTTGCAGATTCAAACAACAGAGAGACTCGCTGACAATGTATACCCATACTTTGCGATGCCAGAGAATTACCATGGGAACCAGCTCAAGTCTTATGGAGGCTATCTCAAATACACTGTAAGGCATGAAGGCCGAGGGAATCCAATTTCTGCACCTGATGTCATCCTGTCTGTAAGTAGTCTGCATGTGAATTTTGTCTTTCCACATAGAATTTCTTGGTTACTACAGAAAGAACTTGTAGTTCAAAGATGTGAAGCTTGTGTATGCCATTTATTGAGCTTGTACAGCATCTAAAACATCTTTGAGGTTGTGTTGTTATCAGATAGTGATGTACATTGTTATCAGACAGTTACTGGATCATGTATTCAGCATGCAGTGGCAACCAAAATCACCATACAGGATATCTCGTTCACATAGGACTTTCTTGAGCATGACAGAAACCTTAAGCTGGACCACTCATATACAATATCTTTGTCAAAAATTAAACAAAACTCTTTAGTTAATAAAATCCTTACACCACTCAGTAAGTATACCATATGTATGTTCAGTAGCTGAGAGAAGTAATTCTTCCAGCTGTTGAAAATAATGATTTGGGAATCTGCAAGCAGAACACCATTCTCATCCTTCACCAATTTATTTCTAGGTTTATAACTCTTTTTAAATTAATTTATTCGTGTATATAAGTCTCTACTGGTCTTGTTCTTCCTGTATGTTTTAAGTTCATTAATTTTGTCTTTCATATATTCCCTGTTTCTTTCTTCTTGAAATGCCTGCTAACTTCACGTTTTGCACTCTTCAGGTTATCCATATTTATTAGGCTAGGTTCCTATAACCATTTTATTTTGGTTTTTATCCTGTAGATCCATGGTTTTGAGCATCCTTCATTAAACCATGGATCATGGTGTTTCTCCCTTTGGCTGAAATTTTCCCCAATAGTGTTCCAACCTCTGTCAATACCCCTATCATAATCTAAATTATCTTTGAACCTATTTTGTATTTTGAATTGATAACTGTTCTTTACCCTATAACTCATTTAATTTTTTGAGATTGAACCTCTCCACATCAACTTTTCAGTGACAGTCTCTCCCTAACATTTGCAACAACCACACAGTGATCAGAGTCACACTCTGCTTCCATGAAGGATGGGACATAAGCACACTTGCACGCTGTCTCCAGTCTGTTCATCTGAATGTGGTCAGTCTGATTGTGTGTCTTTCCATCAGGAGATGTCAAGGTGAATTTATGAATGTTGCACTGTGGGAGCTTTGTGTACTCTTGACAGTTAAGTTTTTTGGATGTGGAAAAGTTTACTGCTCGAACTCCATTATCACTAATTTCATGTAAACTCCTGTTGGTTTGAAAATATCTTCTATGTCCACTTTGACATTGGAATCTCTCAAGAAAATATCCATGTGCTACTACAGGAAATGATCATATTCTTGTTCTAATTCCTCATATCATCTATCCTTCATATAATCAATTTTATCTTCTGTTGGGGTCCAAACATTCAGAACAATGATATCGCAGCTGTGACGTCTCACCATTGTACATGACACTGTATCACAGATAAACTCTACTCTCTTAACTGCTAAAATAATTGTCTTTGCACGAAATATCCTCTACTTAATTCATGATTCTCATTGCAGTTTCCATACAAAAATGTATAATTGTATTCTCTTTCAGTGCTACCCCAGTCCCATCTGACCTCCTGTACTCCCATTAAATCTTCTACTTTTCTCTTGCTTCTGTTATCAGTGAATGTGCCCTATAGAGACTCCTTACATTTTATGTGCCAAACTGAAGTCCATTTCCTTTGCTTAGGTTGTTCAAAAGAATCTGACCAAGTCCAAGGCCCTATGTAACATTTCATAACAAACAGATTTTATTATGGTGAGGAGTTGTTAGCCTCGTGCCTGACCCCCATGCTGGAGGATCTCTCCTTGTTGGCTCTCTGTGATTGCTTATTTAGTATATTTTCAACCACCCTCCATATCTGGGGTCCATGACCTCCATCTGCAACCTGAAGATGTGCCATGCCTGGGTGACAGTACCACTTAACAAGGAATGGTACACAAAACATTGTGAATTATCGTGCATTTTGATATTTATGAATAATTTGGAACCATTTTGCGAAAACTAATCAGAAATGTTTGACCATTTTGTTGTATATGTAGGGCAATGGATATATCTTGGTGCACCCTGGTCGACCACCAGTATCTGGGCGTAACAATGATTACTCAGTAAGGTTTTTCTACGGAGAGTGGTATAAACGAGGAAGTGCGCGGCCAGGAGGGGATATCCCGGGGGAGCCAACTGATACACTGGCAACAAGAGAGGAAATCATGATGACACTTGGAAATGTTGATAACCTACTTATCAGGTGGGTCATACCAGCTTTGTTTGGTCCTGTTACTCTACTTAATGACTTGATTCATACCTCGCTGTCTCACTGTTGGAGATATGATGTACCAGGATATTCATATGTAATACTAGTTCTCTCCAACCATTGAGCATGGCATGACAGTTAGCTGTGTTGAGCAGGCCAGCAAGGTAGGCATTGGCATTCTCTTGTATTTTGTTCACCTGAAGACATAAATAGAACTAGTTTCCTTATTGTAATTGTTTTAATAACAGATGTTGGACAGAGCCCAAAATAACTGAACAGGGGTCTGAGTTGAAGAAAGTTGTCTTCTGGGTTTAGGCACCGTGTATTCTTCGTTTTGGCCGACGTTTCGGAGGAACGTAGCGCCTCCATCTTCAGAGCAGTTGAATAGCTGCGGAGAGCAGTAGCTGTGGTGATAGGATGTGGAAGGTGCTGCTTATATACGAAGTAGGCAGGGGGGTGGTTAGGGAGAACGGACCAATGGGAGCAGTGGAGAGCGATTAAGGCCATATATGGTGTGTGACTAAGGGAGAGGGGGAACGGCCAGTGAGTACAGGAAACTTGAGGTCAATAGCACTAGGAAGTGCGGTAGTCAAGAAAAACCGGTAGGTTGAGGACAGGCTATTGACGTCAATGACATGACGAAGAACTGGTGTGGCTAGTAGGATTCTCTTGAGGGAAAGGATGTTTCACGTCTGTCGAGATTGTTGAGAGCGATAAAGACCATATGATGTGTACTAAGTAGGGGGGGGGACGGCCAGTAAATCCAGGAACTTGAGGTCAATAGCACTAGGAAGTGCGGTAGGCAAGAAGAACTAGTTGGTTGGGGACAGGCTACTGACGTCAATGACATGATACCGGGGGACAGGCTACTGACGTCAATGACATGGCGAAGAATTGGAGTGGCTTGTATTTCTCTTGAGGCAAGAGATGAGTGGCTTCCATGACTTGTTGAGACTGAACCCTGTTTCCTTGTTCATGTTGTTCGGATGGAGCTCAATCTCAACGGCCTCCAGGATTATGCGATCTAGATAACGGCTCTTACTGGTGATTATGGCCGTTTTGTGAAACTCGATACGGTGGTCTAGATCGATGCTGTGTTCAGCTACGGCTGACTTGTCCGGATGTTCTAATCGTATATGCCGTTGATGTTCTTTCAACCTCGTGTCCACAGAACGGCCCGTCTGCCCGATGTAGACCTTGCCGCACTCACATGGAATTCTGTAAATTCCCGGTGTCCTCAGTCCCAGGTGATCTTTGACAGGCCGGAGAAAATTAGATATTTTCTTTGGGGGCAGGCCAACTGATTTGATGTTATGTCGGGACAGTACTCTGCTGATCCTGTTGAATATAGTCCCGACAAAAGGCAAGAAGGCGACAGTTCCTCTGCGGTCATCAGGTTGAATGCTGTTGGGTTGGCGGTTGAGGGCCCTCTGGATCTGCCGGTCGTTATAGCCATTGCGCTTGAAGATGTTCTTAAGGAACTCCAACTCTGCACGTAGACTCTCTTGATCGCACAGAGCTCTGGCCCTATGTACCAGTGTGGACAGAGCTGCCTGTTTACTGGAAGGGTGATGATGGGACTTGGCGTTAAGATACAGGTTTGTGTGTGTGGGTTTGCGGTATACTGTATGGCCTAGAGAGCCGTCGGGTCTCTTGTAAATATCTATGTCTAGGAAGGGGAGGTGGCCTTCACTTTCGGTTTCCATGGTGAACTGAATGCATGGGTTGATACTGTTTAAGTGGTTCAGGAAACCCTTCAGGTTGTCAGGTCCGTGGGGCCAGATGACGAAGGTGTCGTCCACATATCGAAACCAGCAACGGGGCTTGAGTGGGGCCAAATCCAGCGCTCTCTCCTCGAAGTATTTCATGTAGAAGTTGGCGATGACTGGAGATAGTGGAGAGCCCATGGCTACACCGTCAGTCTGTTCGTAGAACTGGCCATTGAAGCTGAAGTAGGATGTGGTTAGGACATGGCGAAACAGTCTCAAAACATCTTCGGCGAAGTTTCCTTCTAGTAGATCCATAGTGTCCTTGATAGGCACTTTGGTGAAAAGCGATACCACATCGAAGCTAACCATCATATCACAAGGGTTCAACCGGAGGGATTTTATGGTGTGGACAAATTCGGCAGAGTTTCTCACGTGGTGTGGGGAGTCACAGGTGAAGGAGTTAAGTAGGGAAGCCAAATGTTTGGCCAATCGATAGGTGGGGGAGCCAATGGTGCTGATAATAGGTCTTAATGGTACGTCAGGTTTGTGTATTTTGGGCAACCCATAGAGTCTTGGTGTTCTGGAACATTGTGGTCGTAGTTGTTGGCAGATCTCTTCAGGGAACGGGGACTTCTTTAGGAGAAGCAACGTCTTGCGCTCTATGGAGTCAGTGGGATCCTTTTTCAGCTTCCTGTAGGTCTTGTCCTCTAGGAGGGCAGCAATCTTCTGGTTGTAGTCAGAAGTAGCCAAAACCACGGCAGCATTACCTTTGTCGGCCGGAAGCACCGTGAGCGTCTCGTTGGATTTTAAGGCTCGGAGAGCTCTTCTCTCGGCACCAGTGAGGTTGTCCTTGGGTTTGTTTGAGCCCTTGAGGATCTTGACTGTCTTCTGTCGAATCTCCTCTGCAGTCTCTTCCGGTAGGACCATTACAGCCTTTTCAACCCCACACAGGATATCCTTAACTGGGATAGAACTAGGGGCTACAGCAAAGTTCAGGCCCTTGCTCAGAGCAGAGTAAGCCGCTTCTTCCAAGGGCACACCACTTAGATTGACCACAGTCTTCTTGTTCTCATGAAGTTGTGGTGGATGTTGTGTCTTCTGCAAGTTGATGAACTTCTTGCACTGTCTGGCTCTCGCTTGGTCACCGATATTAACCGCTTTCTGGGTTGTGATGCGGTCGATTAGGTCCCAATCATCTGCGGACAGGACACGGGCTACGAGAAGATGCAGCTTAATCAGCTCTCTTGAGACAGCGTCCAGTTCTCGCCTTGTG